CCCGACAGAAAAAAAATTGAACTACTTGTTCAATTCTTTTTAAAACCCTTAATGTAAATAATTTACAAAAATTTTTAAAACAATCTACAATAATATGATAACCTCACGCTTGCTTCACTGCACAAGTTGTATCTTCTTTGGTCTTCTTAATTAGCTGACCGTAACTACCCTTTCCTCTCTGGCTGTCACCTCTCATCATCCCCTGATCCTTGACCTTCCTGGAATGGTCCCTTCCCGATCTGGTTTGGTCCTTGGGCTGCTAAACCTGGTAACCCTTTTGGCTGAGGTTACGGGTTCTTTCTGCTGTCACCAAATGTAACAACCAGTTAATCCTAAAGACCATTTGTAACTACTGATACTGATAGGTCTTTAGCTACTGTTGTTAATACTATTAAGGGATAAAGGCAGCGCCTGTCACCAGCCAAAGGGTCCTGGAGTCCTGAAAGAACATCCATTCGCCAGTGGCAAAAAAAAATAATAAAGAAAAATAATAAATTACAAAAAAACATCCCTTAATAGCATATGTCGAGCGGTTCTTGGCAACTAGTTTTAGACTCTTTTAGTCCTAAGGGAATAGAAACGCCGAGGCTTCTCAAATGCTCGGAGTATTTTGCTGGTTTGGGAAAGGAGGAGAGATTAATAATAAGTATTAAAACATTAACAAATGTATATTAACAATAAATAAAAAACTTGACAAATAGTCTTCAGAAAAAATGAATAAAATTCCATTTAGAGAATAATGCACTATAACTAATAGTAATAAAGATAAGCATAAAATATAATTCGGGACGAAAATGTAAAATTGGCATTTATATGTAAATCAATTAATCAATTATTATTAAACAAAATTAAGTTAAAATATTTACCCATAATTCACATCGTACACAAAAACTTTACACATTACTTTACAATAAAAAAAACCAGGGTTTCGCCCGAGGGGCGAAAGTTCTGGACCTTAGTCCGAACCCGACTGAGCCTTTCCCCCAAGTGATCCTTTCTATATAAACCAAAATTTATGTGACTGTTGATTGTATTTTACAATGTCACGTTCAATGTAAATTAATAAAATGAAGGTTTGTTTCATTGTCATAAGTGTCTTTTTGATTATTTAATTTAAACATTAAATACTTGTTTAGAATTTTTGGTAAATTCTTTAGATTTTTTCAATTAATAATAATGCCAATTATTACAAAGGTTTTATTCATAATAATGGAAAAGAAATCAACAAATCTATTGTAGAATCCACATTAGATGCTACAGCCGTTTCTGATCTCAAAATTACGCACAAAATTTCGAAAGAGACACTTAATGTACAGTTCATCAAATTTCTAGAGGCTTTCGACGGCTAGACAGAGAAAGCACTACTGACAGGCATCCCGACGGATTTACGCAAAGAAAGTACACTCTGCGCATCAAGTATTTCACTATTTCATTCAGACGTAAATGTCAGATGTAAATTTCGCTAAAACATTTCTTTTATTTTCGTTTGTGTTTTTTGCTCATTACAGTTTAATAGAACCTAAGTATGGAGTTTAATAGCAAATTAAGAGGCCGCGTGATTAACAGTCAATCTCGCGCAATAATAGCCAATGTTATAGAGTTTATGAGAAGAGAAGAAAACTTTAATTCACCTTCAATACCATTTAAAAATGTAAATGATCGTGTTGCTGCAGCCACAGGAGTATCTAAAAACACTGTCGTCCGCATTTCTGGAGAGAAAAAAGAATCGATAACCGTGAGATATCGGAATTTTCATCACCAAGAAAAACCATTAAAAAACCAAAAACAGTTAATGATATAGATGAAGCTGCACAAGAATCAAATTTTATTTTTTTATTAAAAGATAGCTATTTTTGTTTCTGAGTTGTGTTCATTTACAGGCTCAATTTTTTTCCGTTTCTCCTTTTTGATTTTGTATGGGGTTTCAAGTTGTTTTTGACTTATTTGGACGTAAATCACAACAACACACTTTTTTAATAAAGCAAACAAGTGTTAAGAGGTATATGTACGTGTAAACTACAATTACAAAAAATTGATATGAAACCCATGAAACCACCAACAAAAATGTAAAGCTAGCTTCCGTACTAGAACATGGTATCATTCGTCGAGATAATTTATCGTTTTGTTTAATAGATCAAGAAATGTAAATATTCCCCTGTTATTTTTTAAAAAATTATAAGAGAAATAAATTTTTTTCTAAATAGTATAGTTTATTATTTTGTAGAAAAACAAAATTTCGAAAATTTTAGTAATGTTTCAGAAACAACCGTTATTAATAATAGGTACCATTTTCCTTAATAAGGTAGAAATAAAATATAAACTATTTCCACGATTTACAAAGGCCTACAAAAAAATTATAGGTATTTTCCGCTATCCTATAAAATTTATATTTTCTGACTCAATTTCAAAAGGTTGAAGGAATTCCAAAACACCTTTTATGGCATAATAATTATTTTCAATTCTACATACTATCTTTAGCTGCTTTTAAAAACGTTCTAAGAAAGTCCAATCAGACCAATTTAATCCCTAAACTATTCCACACTTTTAAAATTTAATTACCTAAAAATATTAAAAACTATTTAAAATAACTTGTTTAGCAGACTGTACAATAGCTATCTTAGTCACACGTAGCGCGTTCTCTGTCTGGGCGTCGAACACCTCTAGAAATTTGATGAACTGTAGTTGGGGCACAAAGGCAAAAAGTTAAATTTGCAGCTAAGCTCTTTTCCCATACGATTTCAAAAGCCATTAGTAGATGTGGAACACTTGGATATCTTCCTGGTGATATGAATTGGACCGAATGTGCAGACTTTTTTAAAACTGTAAGAATTTCATTGCAATACATTTTGTTTTTATTAATTTATTATTTTGTAGGTAAACGATTGGTTTGACGTTTTTAACGTCAGTGTACCTTTTAGTGACACAAGAGCCAGGAACCGCGGTTATGGCCTGGAAGTTGAGCAGCAAAATGAAGTAATTGATCGAATGTCTGAAGAAGTTTTAAATATCAGAGTAAAAGGAAGAAAAAGTTTACTTCCATTTCAGGATGGTAAATAATTTGAATAAATTAGTTTTGTTTTTAATAATTTGTGAAAATTTAACTAGGTATTCTGATGTCCAACAATGCCTTGAAACTTTTGCTTGAAGATTTAAAAAGAAGGTTTGATACGCAATACATTCTTACTCGGCGTTTAAATCAAGACATTTTGGAGAATTTTTTTGGTATAATTAGAGCAAAGGGAGGGCTCCATGACCATCCCAATGCCCTAGAATTCAAATACCGGTTACGCTCATATATTATGGGAAAAAATGAAGGTGCATATTCAGATTTCTCCAATGTAGAGGCAGACGATACTCCAGACTTGCCCATGAGTGGCCAAATGATAGATAAATTGGATACTAGTAATAATCCCCTCCTAATCGTAAATGATCCACTAATTGTTGTTAATGCCAATGAACAAGATGAAGTTATATCCCATGAACTCCACGAATTGGAATATGATGGCTTAGAAAATTTAGCAGGGTACATTTATTTCAAATTAGGTTATTCCAGAATTGAATACACAAACAAACCATTTTATACTTGGCTTGATCACGTGGATGAAGGAGGTTTATGCAAACCTTTGGATGAATTTCTTTTAAAAATGGAGGAAGTGGAAAATATGTTTACTAGTGTAAATGGAGATACTCTACTGGTTTGCAAAAATTACATCAAAAACTTGGTGTCGAAAAGTGTTTATGTTGATTGCTCAGACTCAGCAAAAAATTTATTTTTTAGATCACGTATGTATTTTCGTCTTAAAGAATTAAACAAATCGCTAAGAAAACCAATTGTAGGCAAAAGAAAGATGAAAAAAATTGCCACATAACTGTTCTAATATCTTATTTTTTCTAAGACGTTTTTAGCCCATAAATATAATTTATGTATTTTATTTTCAATCCTAAAGCAAGATCACAAGTGTTTTTTGACACAAACAATATACATACCGGGTGTCTGCGCGGATACAAAATTGTTACATAATCCCAAGTGTGACCTCATAATAAAGCTAATTTTATTAGGAATTTAAGGCAACACAAAAAACTATCCTAAATGTATCCATATTACACCGGTCACAAATGTTAATGAATAATATTTTTAATTATTTAATTAATTTTTAATTTAGATAAAATAATATGAAGTTAATTGAATATAAAATCTATATATAAAATCACATTCCAAAAAAATCCACTTTCTCAACTTAAAACCATCAGAAATAAAGTAATCCAAAGTTTTCGCGCGGACACCCGGTATAAATTATATTATTACAAATAAATTTCCCTCTAATTTACAAATTAATTTACCCTTCAACACTAAAGCAACACAAAATATATTATATAAATTTTAAAATATGGGCAAATATTTTAAAATTTTTATTTTATTTAATGTCTTTATTTTTATATCTTTAAGCATGTGTACACTATTTAATTTTGTGCTGTTACGGACATTTTTTCTAAAGATACACAAAATCCAAACATCTAAATACAAAGACAAACAGAGTAAATACGCTTTAACCGTACATGCGAATTTGAATAATACGCTGCGAGTGACGTATTGCGCACCACGAACGAGTTTTGGCCACGGGAATAGCATGCCCTGGCTACTTAGCGGTACAGCCGCCTACTCGGAACAGTTCGGTAAATACCGGTTAATTTTCGGCGGTGCGGACTCACATTCCGCACGTTAGTAACGGAAGGCTAATGTTAGTTTAGATTTCACTCTAAGAATGTTTCCATTGTTTACAATAAATTATCCCTTATTCTTTATTTTAATAACTAGGCCCGAAGATGAATAAGGATTATGTATTAATATGCCTTTATCTTTCAATCGCTATTAATTAATTACTCGACTGAATGAATCATGGATTTTAGGGAATGAAACTTTGCTTTTAAACAGAACATTATCTATAGTAGGTAATCTTCATGTGGCTTTTCTTTATTTAGTATTATTTTCTTATTTTTAGGTGTATATTTAGGTTTGGATCCATATCTGGTTCTGACTGATGTTACATATGCGAAACATGTTTTCAGTAAAGATTTCTCAAATTTCGTAGATCGTGGTGTGTTTCACAATAAAAATAATCCCTTTACTGTGAACATATTAACGCAAGGTGGAGAAGAGTGGAGAATCGCCAGGGTAGGTTATTAAACAAATATGTACGTAATTTTTGGATTTTTTGTTTTTATAATAGCTTACAACAGTAAAAGGTATAATGGACCTTGCTTTCACTAAAATGTTTCAAATTTAAAACAGTTTTACGTTGGACTAGTCCAATATATTTGTAATTTCTTGTTAACTAAAAAACGAAATAACGGATTTTAAATTATAAATTATACAGAACTTTTTTTTAAACTTCTTTCAGCTAGTGACACTTTTTAAACTAAATTAAAAAATAGCTAGTGAACTTAGTAATTAGCCTACAAATGCAGTACTTAGTCAACAGTTAATCATCAATGAATTAATTTTTTTTTACTAAAAACAGAACCTTATTTTAAGTCGCTAATTTTTTTATTTTATTGTCGATCAATATTGTTGTATCCACTTCATGTTTATGCCAAATAGTTTGAAAAGGCTACCAAATAGAGTAATGTATAGATAGTCCAAACCCCCTTTAATTCGATTGAAGATTTCTTAGAAATATAACACTTTTTAAGATCACTAACTAGATTTTGATTATTATTATTATTATTATAAATTTTATTTAGTCTAATTTTTGCATTTTGACTTAAACATTTCTTTAGAATATAAGTTGTAAATAATTTCTTTCCTTCGGCATTAAGCCTAGCGTCATACAACTCAATAGCATTAATTACTTAATAAGTAACAGTTTCTTAACTGGTAACAGACTAGCCGCGGTTTTTAAATCGAACTTTTCAGCCATTTTAACTTTATTTAAGCAATCTGGAATAAAAGAGTATGATTCTAAATTGGTTTCTAATCCAGTTTGCTTTATCTGGTGCGCAAATTGTAAACTTTTAACTAATTTAACCATAATTGGCTTAATAAGTTTATCAACAACATTTTCAAGTTCTATAATATAAGCTGTTGAGCAAAAATCTACGTCTGATTTATTAAATAATATCTTTACCTTTTAAAACTATCTTTAAACTTATATAATTTCTAAACTTACGGATAGTAACATTTATGTCACTTCTTCTTTCGTTACTGTCTTTTAATATATTTCTATGAAACACTTTTAGTTCTCCTATTAGTTTAGCAAATTCCTTTAGCAAACTCATTCCAGTATTATATATAAAGTACTTATATTATTACATACTATATAATTCAAATTCCCAAATTGCGTAAAATTATATCCCTAATCCAAACCCTTAAACCCTGAATTCCATATTCCAAACTACCCTGTAAGTTCGTGCGCTTCTTTAACTTGTTTTTATTTTGAACATAAATAAAAATAAGTAGATAACAATAAGCCAACTACATATAACACTGTACTTAAGAGGCTATACCAGCAAATAAAAAAGGATAATATTCTAGGAATGCCTACAGATATAGCCATGACCACATATAAACTTAAAATAAATTTTCAAATTTAAATATAAGCCCAAGAATCCTGGAAACAGGTAACTCACATACAAGCTAAACTCATCTGGCATACATAAGGTTCAAAATCCAAGGAAGAAGCCGGAGCTAAAATATTTGCACTCAAGTCGACAACAATGATATTACTAGAGTATAGAAAATATGCAACAGTGTTCCAGCCATACAACACTGTGGAAGAGAAATATAAAATCAGCAAGTATTATGGCAAAACTATTGCTGTTGGAAATGAGAGTAATAGTTAGTGTTTTAGATATAGTTTTAATGATTGACAATATATATAACTTAAATTCAAAAATGCCGCAAGGTAAAAAAATAATTTATTTAAAATAAAAACTATGTCACAGAATAAAGGTGTTTAATGAACAAAATCGGATTCTAGACTGAATGTAATTAAAATGAAATAAAACAATATGTTATAAAAGTGCAAATGTGAATAAACTATAAAATGTCTATTAAGCAAACTGACACTTGTATCTATGGGAAGCAAAGGTTAATGTTCTTGGCGGCTTCGTGACATTTTACACTATATATATATTTTGAGTTTGTCAGACTAATTTTAAATAAAGCCATTTTGAGAACCTCTCCATTTTTTATACAGAAGAGTAAACCAGGTAGGTCTTACTCATTCTGAACAATTGCCATCTACTCTGATAATCAAACAGCTCAAAAGCAATTCTATTACCAGAAATTAAATCACGATTGGTGAAAGGCTGCCTAGAAGATCGGGCACAGCTAAGTGGTCAAAACAAAATGATCCTAGCCTGGGTTCCACTCCAATGAAAAGATGGACGAACTAGCCCGATGAAGCTCATATAAGTGTATAACAAGCCCCGAACCTTCTATGAAAGGCATCCATCAAACAATGAATACAAAAAGAGTTTTAGGAATAGTTAGAAAACTATCCAAGATTGGGACAAGCCAAAAAGTTAATCAAGAAACCATTGGCCAAGTTTACAAAAGACCTACTGGATCTAAAACGTCAAATCGTTAGAATAATAGTAGATCTTCTTACAGGAAACTGTTGTATAAGAAGGCACATGAGTATCATCAATCCAGCAAAAGAAGTAAATTGGGCAGGATCTGTGAAGAAAAAGGGGAAACATCGATGTCAGTGTTACGGTCTGGATAGATTGAGGTTTCAAACAATAGGCAAATAAATGTGATATAAGGGGAGGTAAGATTAGGTATTTACAGATTAGGGAATACACTGGGAAATCTTGACATACGGCCAGGTCACAAAAGTATCTCAAGGTTAGTGACAGGAGACGTGCTAAACATGAGATCAGACCACATAATCAAGAGGTACTCTTTTAATACTCCATCTTATATTTTAATACAGGAAAGAGCGGATATCACCATAAGGGAGCCCAATGCCCAACAACAGGAACAAACCTGGTATACAGACAGGTCTAAGACTGCGGAAGGCACTGGGGCGGAAGTATTCTCCAATAACCCTAATACTAATCATAGCTATGCTATAGGAATACATTCGTTGGTATTTTAGGCCGAGGTATACGCAATTTTGCAATGTACAAAAACAAACAATGAAAGAGCTGTCGATAATCAGCATATTCAAATAATGTCAGACAGCCAAGCGGCTCTTGAGGCCATACTAAGTCAGAAAGTTACGTCGAGGCTGGTATGGGAATGCATCGAAGAACTAAGAATACTGGCAGACTGGCAGAATACTGGCAGTAAAACTATTTTGGGTGCCAGGTCACCAAGAGATCGAAGGCAACGAAAAGGCTGACGAACTTGCAAAAAGAGGGTCAGAAGAAATACCGGAACCAGACACAAACCTAGTAGTACCAAAAAGTACAGTCCGGGGTTTCATAAAAGAGCTGGATTCGGGAACAACATATTAACTATTGGGAAAGCATCCTAAAACAGGCACATGGAAAAGCCTTCATAGGCAGACCATGTTCCAAAAGAACTGGAGAACTACTCTTTATAAATAGGAACCAGTTAAAAGTGATAACAGGGTTCTGACTGGGCACGCCCCAGTAATGGGACACTTGAACAAAATTTGCATGTACAATAGGGAACTTATGTACCGACTATGTCATAAGAAACCAGAAACAGCCAAACACGAATGCGAAGCTCTAGATCGCAAAAGACAGGCTCTTTTTAGACAACCCCAGGTTGATCCAACAACGTATAGAACCCACTCACCTAAGGATCTGTACAAACTTGTACAAGGTACAAAGGTGACAGAGTGGGTGCTATGAACTAACATGGGGTAAAACACAATAAGCCAACAGGCTTTACTGTTATTCGGAGACATAGTCAAACGAGCCCAGGAGAAAAAAAATAGGCGAAGAAAACCAAGACGCATGGAACTTCATTCTGAAGATACTGTTACAGCTATTTAGTACAATAAAAAAGACTAAGATAGACGATATACTCTAAACAAAGAAGTGTCTCAATAAATTTTAAAAGGTCGCGGTGGAGAAGGACAAATTATGTCCTATCAAATCTAATCTAATCTAATCTACCCTGTACGTGTACGCGCTACTTGTTTTTTTGTTTTTGTTTTGAGATACATACGTACTTATGTCCATAAATAAAGATTTATACACTGTGGAACAGCCAAATGGAATAAATTCGAGATTTTAATTAATATTTTTAGGTGCGCATTTTTTTAACAAAATTTTTTTATACAAGGTGTGTTATGTAAGAGTAGCCAATACCAAGTTTCTTATTTTAAATCCAATGTCCTGCATATTTTTCAATTTTTGACTTCTTCAGAAAATTCTGGACATATTTTATGTACTAGACCATACTGTTTCCAAAATATTAAATATTTTCTGATTTGTTGCAAGAATAAACATTAACAAAATAAAATTGTTTAATTACAGAAATTCGCTACAACACACTTAATACCTATTTCCCATTTGGGTATTGATAATGAGAAAGTAAGCAAAAACCATTTCAGCGTTTTTTTTACTGATATAAAATAAAAACAAAGCTATACTTTATTAGTTTTGTTTACTTTTGTGTTTACTTTTGTTTAAAATGCCCTGACCTTAGCAAATTGTTATCTGATTGCATGACAGTTGTCAGTGTTATAGTTAGTTGGTTTTCCTATACTGCATATTATAAAAATGGTTCATTTAAACGAAATTTACAAAATAACAATTCTACAGTTGATTGGTTATGGAGATAACACACGGACACAAATGAAAGTTACTCGCTTATTTCATAAAAAAATTCCAAATTTGCCCGTATATCCCAAGGGACAATTAGTAAAATAGAGAAGCAGTTTCGCGAGCTTGGACATGTAAGGTAGATAAAAAGACAGCTGCCAATGCAATAACTAGTGATATCAAATTGGATACTTGCATCTTAGGAAAACCGAGATACTTCTATTCGAAAAGCAGCCCCAATAGCAACTCAGGAGGTCATGGAAGACCATTTTGATAGCAAAACGTAATTTTGTGAACAATGTTAGATAATATGTCAATCCAATTAGATCATCTTTTATTTTCTGATGAGTGTAACTTTACACTTCACAGTCATGCTAATAAAATTACCGCTATTGGTGTAGTAATAATCATAAATGGATGAGAGAAGAA